AGGGAGGRACCCTCAGGGAGAACCGTGTTTCTTCTTAACCAGTCTCTAACACTGTGACTGGCAGGAGTTTCTTGCAGACAGCGCCTAGTCGAGTCATGGTTGGTCGTTTGTTCTTTTTTCTGTCATTTTTTAGCTCATGCTGACCATCTCTGTCTTCCAATTGGAATGTTGAGACCAAAAGTAGGCTAACTAGGGTCCATGGACTGAATCCAGCCCACTGCCTGGCTTTGAAACAGAATAATATGTAATAGAGATTGTATTKAGCCCTCAAAACAAAAATGGTTAGCATAGAAACTTTAAGGGGAAAAAAAAAAAAAACCTTATTGACCTCCAGTTTAGGCCATTTACATTTAGTGTGATTTTCGATATGTTTGGATTTAGGCCGCTATGCTATTGTTCTTTCTACTGTTTTGTTCTTCAGTTTCTCCTTTCCTATCTCCTCTTGTGTTATTTGAACATCTTTAGTATTTACTTATTTATTGGCACTAGAGATTGAACCCCATGGGGGTTTAACCACTGAGCCACATCCCCTGCCCTTTTATTTAATTAATTAATTTATTTTGGTACCAGGGATTGAACTCAGGGGCACTCAACCACTGAGCCACATCCCCAGCCCTATTTTGTACTTTATTTAGAGACAGAGTCTCACTGAGTTGCTTAGCACCTTGCTATTGCTGAGGCTAGCTTTGAATTCATGATCCTCCTGCCTCAGCCTCCCAAACAGCCGGGATTACAGGCAAGTGCCACCAGGCCCCGCTTCAACTTAATTCTTGAAGGATATTTATGCTGGGTATATAATTCTTTTTTTTTTTAATTAAAATACATTTTTAATTGTAGATGAATGCATATCTTTATTTATTTTTTTTAAAGTAAAAGGGAGAGAGAGAGAGAAAAAAAATTTTAATATTTATTTTTTAGTTTTCGGTGGACACAACATCTTTATTTGTATGTGGTGCTGAGGGTCGAACCCAGCGCTGCGCACATGCCAGGCTAGCACGCTACCGCTTGAGCCACATCCCCAGCCCACATATCTTTATTTTATTTATTTATATTTTATGTGGTGCTGAGGATTGAACCCAGTGCCTCACGCATAAAAGGAAAGCACTCTTCCACTGAGCTACAGCCCCAGCTTCTGGGTATAGAATTCTAAGTTGAAAACATAGGTTTGGGGACACCAGAGATTGAAAAAAGGATAAAATCAACATTGGTTTGATGGTACTTTAATTGTTGTCTTCTTCTCTGATCTGCCTGCTATTATTTACTTTTCAGAGTCCTTAAATAATGACTCTGTACATTCTGTCCAGCTTTTACAACTGGTTTCAGCTGGATAGACAGGATGGTATGTACTTACTCTGTGTTGACAGGATGGAATGTACTTACTCTGGGTTACCCAGAACCAAAACCCTCTCTTCATCCTTTAGTACTTTTCAGTTAGGAAGAGTAGTAATTTGATTGCCAGAAACTCATTTCTTCTGGTCAATCTTTACAAATAATGGGCTCCCTATGATAAAGGAATGCACTAAACCTTGTTGTTCCTGACCCGCTTGCACAAGAGACCATGAGCCCTGACCTTTTGGTCACTATCTGGTAAATCCCTAGGGCAGGCCCAGAATGTCTTCCAGGTACAGTTCTAGCCATAGTCCCATGTCTTTTTCTTTTTCTTTCTTTCTTTCTTTCTTTTTTTTTTTTTTTTTTTTTTTTTTTTTTTTTTTTTTTTTTTTTTTTTTTTTTTTTTGAGGTGGGAGAACCAGGGATTGAACTCAGGGGCACTCCACCACTGAGCCATATCCCCACCCTATTTTGTATTTTATTTGGAGACAGAACCTCACTGAGTTGCTTAGTACCTCACTTTTGCTGAGACTGGCTTGAACTCAGAATCCTCCTGCCTCAGCCTCCCCAGCTGCTGGGATTACAGGCATGCGCCACTGCACCCGGCTTCCCCTGTCCTTTTCCCTGACAACATCCAGAGAATGTGAGGTTCACCTACAGTTTTCACAGATCCAGGGGAAGTCAGGGTTTGCTCTGTGGAGCAACTGCTCATGGAAAGATCCAACATCTAGCTGTGAGGAAAAAATAGAAGGACCCCACTCTGACTCCAGCTTCAAAAATATCCTCCAATCCAACTTTGTCAAAAAGTCTTCAACCCTGGGGGTTTAGCTCCTACCTGATCCATTAATTAGTTGGTAYTTCTTTTCCATTAGCCTTTAGAGTCCTAGGTAAAGTGCCTCCGTCCAGTAGACTCCTGTGTCACAGAGGATAAGAGACAAAACTCTATTCCAGATAATTTAAGCACAGTTTATTAATTATAAATGCAAGTGCCAATTTCAGGATAAGCTAGAACCAGGAACTGAAACAGGACTGTGTATTTCTCAGCTCAGCTCTTCTTCACAATGGCTTCAGTCTTAGACTATGTGACAGCCCCAGGAGCTCAAGACTCATGTCATTTGAGGCTTTTTTTTTTTTTTTTTTAGTTGTAGTTGGACACAATACCTTTATTTTATTTATTTATTTTTATGTGGTACTGAGGATCGAACTCAGCAGCTTGCTCATGGTAGGTGAGCGCTCTACTGCTAAGCCACAACCCCAGCCCCCATTTGAGGCTTTTAAAAGAAGAACATGCATGCCACAGTTATTTAACTATCTCTCTCATGTTGGACATTAGTTTGTTCACTTTTTCACAATCATAAATTATATTATGAATACATTAAGTTGATCTATATTAAATTGCCAATGCTCAACATTTTGATTTCTAAAAATGAGTTCCTAGGGCCTACCCTCATTGGTTTTTAGTATTCTGGATTATTCCCTGGTTAAATTTTCAGAGTTAGTTGTCTGGAGCAAAATTTAATTACTTTCCATACCAGTTCTACAAATACATATTCTTATATAAACAAACTTTGGGTCTTACTTATTATTTCTTCAGTCTTTATACTTTGATAGATATTTGCCTATATTCCCCATCTTCACTCTGTCTTCTAGCCCTTTATAGTGTCATGGGGCCATTACTCAGAAAACACTCTAAGTTCAAATTAAAAGTCAATTCGAGGATTTTTATTATCTGGCCAAAGACTGTCCCTCACTGAGTCCAAGTGACTGTATGGGAGAATAGCCCTAAGCTGTGTCTGTGGCCAGAGTATTTAAGGAAGAAAACCACATCCTATGGATCTGCAAGTTGCAAGCAAGCCAAATACAGGAGCTGAGAAAGCAGTTAGCAGAGCAAAAATAGACAACCACATCCTGGGTTCAAGCACATTTGTGGGCACACATCCTGGGTTCAGGTACATTGTGTGGAAGTACAAAAAAGCAATTTTCTTAATATTCTCAAAACAGCAAACATGGGCTGGGGTTGTGGCTCAGCAGTAGAGTGCTGGCCTAGCACGTGTGAGGCCCTGGGTTCCATCATCAGCACCACATAAAAATATAAATTAATAAAAAAAAAAATAGGTATTGTGTCCAACTACAACAAAAAAAAAATATTAAAAAAATTTTTAGGGCTGGGGATGTGGCTCAAGTTGTAGTGTGCTAGGCTAGCATGCGAGAGGCACTGGGTTCAATTCTCAGCACCACATTAAAAAAAAAAAGCAAAATAAAGATATTGTGTCCACCTAAAACTAAAAAATAAATATTAAAAAAATTTTTTAGTCACTATGGCTATATCAATCTATATTTGTCTATGGCTATAACCTATTAGCCTATATTATCTATAACTATACTGGCCAACTGATTTACACTTATCACCTTACATCGTTTTATATCTTATTTCCTGTAGCTTATATCCTATGTCTTACAGTTACATAATTATCCTGCTATTACTTATGCTTAATCCTGGTGAATTATTATTATTTTTWAAAAATATTTTATTTATTTTCATGTGGTGCTGAAGATTGAACCCAGTGCCTCACATGGGCGAGACAGGCGCTCCGCCTCTGAGCCACAACCCCAGCCCCAATCCTGGTGAATTATGTTCTAGGCTTACTTCTAACTTATTACTAGGGCAGTTTAACATTACTCATCTCATAGTACTCATTCCTATTATCCTATTGTATCTTACTTATTCTGCTTATCAATATCTTATACCTATAATCTGTATTGATCAGACTTAGACCATAACAGTATTCTGTCATGACTCATATACTACATTCTTCTACATCGTGTCTGTATGTGCATGTGTTTTTATGTACTTAATAAAAAAGGAACTAATTACGATTCCGGAAGGACTAGAACAATCGCTTTCGGTTTTGTGTCTCCCTTGCTCTGGTGCCTCGTGCCTTTCACTCATTCATTCAAGAAACATCTGCTGGGGCTGGGGATGTGGCTCAAGCGGTAGCGCGCTCCCCTGGCATGCGTGCGGCCCGGGTTCGATCCTCAGCACCACATACCAACAAGCATGTTGTGTCCGCCGAGAACTAAAAAATGAATATTAAAAAAATTCTCTCTCTCTCACTCTCTCTCCTCTCTCACTCTCTCTTAAAAAAAAAAAAAAAAAATCTGCTGGATTTACACCAGAGAACAGTAACTGTGAAGGGTGCTATAGGAATTGTAAAAGTTCACTGCACTGAGCCCTGCCAGTTTCCAATATTCTTTTATTACACCAGTAGGTCTTATTTAACATTCATGCCCGCGTTTTAAATTCCACCTTGCGACCTTCCCACGTCGACGGCACTCTGATCCGGGAACAAAAGCTCTGAAACGTTAGCCTTTAAGTGTATTGACTGTGTAAGCGCCGTTCCCGTGGCCCAGTTAATAATCCCTTAAAATGCACCCCAGAGCCACATTTGGGGGGACTTAGGACCAGCAGAGTTAATCAGTAAAACACAGGGCAGTCTGGCGGTCAGGGACTTTTCACAGGGCTGAGGAGGGCGGCGGGATCATTAAATTCAGAATCATGAACCTGCAAATCGTGGCAGCAACAGGGTCCAGCCGGCTCTGCACCGCCCTCGCGGAAGCCCAGAAGGGGYGGGGCCTCGCCTCGCTCCGCCCCCAACGGGCGGGCCCCGCGCTGCCGCCTACGCTCGCTCCCGCCTTGGGACTCGAGTCCGGGTCCGCGCGGGAGCGCCATGAGCGCGCGCCCGGGCCAGTGACCCTCTCGGGGATGGACTGCGGCTCGGTCGCGGGGGAGAGACCGAAGCACTCGCTGAGCCGCCGGCGGCTCCTGCTCTTCCTGCCCTCGGGCCGCGGCGGAAGCCTGGGCGGCCGCGGAACCCCCACACGCCGCTGCGTTTCCCCGCTGCCGTGCGGGCTGGGGTCGCTGCGGCCCCGCGTCGCGGGGGCCCGCGGGGGCGCGTCACGTGCGGCCCCGCTGCTCCTCCTCCTGCTCGTGCCCTCCCCGCGGCTGGTCGCCGCCGCCCCGCGCAGGCCCCTGGCCGACTGGGGGCGCTCGCGTCCTGGCCCCGCCGTCCCCGCGGCCGGGCGCGGCGGCGCGTGGAGGTGCGCGCTGGGCCGCGCGGGCGCGGGTGGCGCCCTCCACCTGGGCCGCGGCGTGGCGGCCGCGCTGGCTTCCTGCAGGAGAGGTGAGTGCCGGGCCGGGCGGTGCCCTGGGGGAAGGCCCGGCGGCGCGCAGGGTGGGTCAGCCGAGGTCCCGGCCGCCTCGCGCTCGCGGGCGAAGGTCCGGCCCGCCCTCGAGGACGCAGTCAGCGAGCTGGGCTCAGCGCCCGGGAGCCCTGGGCCACGGACGAACGGCGGCCCCGGGAGCGCGCTGCGCGTCCACCGGAAGGGTCCCGCGCCGGCGCCTGGGATGGGCTGCTGTTGCTGGCTCGCACCTGGAGGCGCCGGGGAGAGCTGGCCGTGTGCAGGGCGCGTGCGCGCGTGGGGGCGAAGCTCGGGGAGGGCGGGGGTTTGACAGCTCGAAGCTTCCTTCGCGGAGCTCTTGCGCCTGTCCTGTGCCTGGCACTTTTTTTTAAAGACGTTTGGGATTTAGCAATCAAAAATCTTTCCCCTCAGGAGCTTCATTCCAGCAGAGGAGATGCCGTAAACGTGGTGTACCTAACCCAAACCCCAGACTTTTTGCATACACCTGGATTTTAATTTGATAAGTGCTACAGGAAAACAATAGCGGGGAAAGAGTTGGGAAGTGGAGTGGGTCTTCAGTTTTGAATTTAAGCAGTGATCAATCACAGTCGGCTTCATTGAGGAGGTAGAATTTTATTGAGGAGGTAGAATTTTATTAAGGAGGTGAAGGAGGAAATCCCTGCACTACGTGAGAATAGGAAAGTAAAGAGGCTGGAATTTGCTGAAAACAAATTGCTGATAAAAAAAAAAAAGAGAGAGTAATCAACAAACTTGGTACACATATCACTTGGGATAATCTATACATTATCTATTAATGGCCATCAAGAACCKCACCTTTTTCATATTTTTTTTCAATAGCAATGTCTGATAAACATTTGGCTGCATCTCAAATTTAAGAATAGCATTGGCTGGGGGAGAAGCTGATTATTAGAGCAACAAAGCAAGGGAGTTTGTGCGCAAAGGATGGGAAGGAGTACTGAACTCTTAGCGTCCTGCAGTGATTAGGAGCAGTATGAGTAGGTTTGGTCTTTGTTTCTGTATTTGTCTTTAGGTTGCTCTTATTTTGATAAATGGGTAACTTCCGATCTGGTCTCCTCTCATAATTTGAGACTGTGGGCAAGAGAGTTTCTTTATCCTAGGCTTGCTAACATTGTGCCAGCAAAGTGGTACTGTTGTTATGGTGTCAAAGCTCTCATTCATCAAGAGTCTTAAAAATAAGGGTAAATGCATCAAAGCAGGGAAACAGAACAGAGACAGGGTTAAGGAAGCATGTTTGCCCACTAGCCATCTGTTAATGAGCAGTTTGGTTTTTTGTTTTTGTTTTTTTTTTCCCTGTCCAGTGATTGGCTTGCCAGCCACTCCCCCCAGCTTCTTAGCAGGTCCACTTGTTGAGTAGGAAATTCATACCTGGCTAACCTTGGGCTTCTTTTGTAATTGTGGGTTTTTAATAACCTTTTGATATGCTAAACATCTCCTGAAAGGAGAATTACCTATTAACACTTTAATGCAGCTGATTCACTTGCTCCTTGGTTATCTGTGGGCTTTCAGAGCACTGTGTCCTCAGGTGCTGACCTTTGACAGAAAGCAAGAGAAGGCATTCCCTTCTCTCAGCAGGGCCGAGTGCCAGTGGAGAGGTGGCCAGCCCTTTTCTCCACTTTTCAAAAGGCAATGTTTCTTTCAAAAAAGCTTGCTGTGTCTGGTTCCAGTCATTTTTGGAAAAGAAAAAAAAAAAAAAAAAAGGTCTGCAGTGTCCATATCAGCTTTAGCTTCTGCTTAGAAAATAGTGGCATGGTTATTTGCTTTATGGGTGTGGGTGTGGTAGGAGGTTATGTTTTAAATTGCATGAATTATTTTGTTATTAGAGACAAGGAATTTGGGACCAGAATAACCCTGTCACTCTTCACAAGCCATTCTAGACGTCCTGTGTTCAAGATCCCTGACCCATGGGACAGCCCAACAGAGTTTAAGGTGGGTGAGGTGGCCTTAGAGGGCCCCTTGAGAAGTGTTTCATCCATTCATTTACTTGCCACTGTCCCTGGAGGGCAGATCCTGGTCTCTTATCACGGCCAATTCCAGTCTCAGGGCTGATGGAGATACATGATAAGAAAAGAGGTACCAAATTTAAGTGTGCTTATTTATGAAAAGGGAAGAAATGAGGTGAAGAGGAGAAAGGAGTTAATCCCAGAGTTTCTTTCTCAACAGTCTCATAATCCAGTTCTTAGAAGCCATTACAGTTCAGTTACAAAAAGGTAAATATTTCCCTCTGTTTGCAGTTTGCCAGGCCCTCCTCAGGGCGTCTGCTAGATGCACAAGATAAAAAATGAGTCAGTCTGGGTATTCTTGGGCAGCTTGACTCATAGATGGTGCACTGTGGCAGTAAACTCGGTGCTTGCTGTCCCAGAGCCACGTGTACAGGCTGAGAACACCAGGAGCAGTAAGGCTGCTCCCGTATCTGGGTGGAGGAAGCAGAGAGAATCATAAAGTGAAACGTAATGCAGGCCTGGAACATAACGTATGCTTAATAAACTGCCCAGTTAAAAGAGAAGCGTGTGAAAGGATGCTAACAGTGTAACAGGTAGGAGAGGAAAGCAAGCCAAGCTTAGGGCATGGAGCAGCKTAGGTGCCAAGCTGAAAGGATAGCATGGCTGTAATGGGAAGGAGGGCTCGCGCTCCTGGGCAAGCGCCTTGTGCTCAGAACAGCTCCGCTTTGAATGAAAGGGTCGGTTTTTACCATCMACACAGGCATCAGTGCCTTTTCTATTCTGTCTCAGCAAGCAGTGCTGATACAATGTCATTACATCTCACGCTCAATTTCGGAGCTCACCATGACCATTGCTACTCTCCTCCCAAACTGCCAATGGTTTGGCAACAATTGCTGGAGGCAGCAGAGAAGTGTCAGATCTGTGGGGTCTTGTCCATGTCACATTTTACCTCCTRTGGTTGTCTTAGACCATTTAGGAGTGAAGGATGGAGAGTTGTAGTTGATTGGCTCAAGTATCTTGCTGGTCACTCTGGCCACTAAAGAAACCTTTGATCTCTGAGTTAGCACAGGGCTCCTACTTTCTTGCCACTCCTACAGCACCCCGCCTCAGACTAGCACCAGTCCAGGGCATAGTTAGAAGAGGAAAGACACATAAGTAGCTGTTTATTAAATTTAAATTAAATAAAATTCTTTATTTAGATTGTCCACTCTTTTTCTCCCCTTTTTTGGTGTCAAGATATTTTTTTAGTATGATGGTAATAAGAAGCTATTATGTTGAAATGTTTTTGGTTTTGTTTTAGTTTTAGGTTTGGTTTTGTTTTTGTACTAGGATTGAACCCAGGGGYACTCTACCACTAAGCACCCCAACCCTTYATATATATWTTTTTTATTTAAACTTAGGATCCTCCTGCCTCAGCCTCCCAAGTCACTGCTGGTATTATAGACATGCACCTCTGAACCCAGCTAAATGTCCTTTCTCGACAGAATTTTAAAACTGTTTTAATAGTTCATGAAATCCAGAAACCAATAAGCCATTTCAGTACTGTGTAACCTCCCTCAGATAAAAAGGGCTTAAATCTGCTGTTAAATGTATCATGGTTCATCAAAAAGATAGCATGAAGAATGTTAGAGCTCATCTAAGGACAGGCTTTTGCAAAGATACCACAAGAAAACTACAGAAAAATATTCTCTATGAATATAGATAGAAAAATCCTCAACAAAATACTATCAGACAACATATAAAAAAATATTATGTACCATGATCAAGTGGGTATCTCAGGGATGTTAGATCCATTTAACATCTTAAAGTCAATTCATGTTATATTACCTCATTAATAGAATAAAAGTCAGAACCCACGGGATCATTTAACAGAAAAATAACTATTTAATGCRCTTTCATGATTTTCTTAAATTTTATTGTTACAAAACAAAACCTCAATAAAATACTAACAGAACCTGATAAAAAGCATCTACAGACAGTCCGCCACTAATGTCGTATTTAATGGGAAAAGCCTGTATACTTCCAAGATCAGGAACAAGGAAAGGGAACCTGCTTTGCTCTTCTATTTAACATCCTACTGGAACTTCTGGCAGGGCAGCTAGGCAGGAAAACGAAATAGAAGGCATCCAGGTTGGATTGGAGAAGTAAAGTTGTCACTGTTCTCAGACGACATAGATCTGTGTGGAGAAAGCCTTAAGGAATCCATTAAACCGTTAGAATTAATAAACCAGGTCAGCAGGATTGCAAGATCAGTGTGCACAATAGTTGTGTATTTATGTACCAGCAATAAACTGTCTGAAAATGAGAGTGAGAATGATKCCATGTACAATAACATAAAACAAAATAAAATACTTAGAAATGAATTTGACAACAGTCAGAAAACACTCAGAAAACTAAAAAGCATTATCGAAGAAATTAAAGGCCTAAATAAATGGGAGACCTACCATGTTTATTGAGCTGAATTCTTAATATTGTTGAGGTGGTAGTACTTCCTAAATTGGTCTATAGATTTAACACAGTCCCTCTCAAAATCTCAGTTGGCTTTTTTGCAGAAATTGACAAGCTTATCCTAAAATTCATATGGAAATGCAAGGAACCTAAAATAGCCAATCTATCTCAAAGAAGAGCCATGTCCAAAATCCACTCACATCCAGAATATATGAAGAATTCTTACAGCTCAGTGATAATAAGACAAATAACCTAATTAAACATAGCCAAAGTACTTAAGTTGACAGGTCTCTAAAGAAGATGTACAGATGGTCTATAGGCACACAGACATCAACATCATTAGCCATCAGGGAATGAAAGTCAAAACCGCAAAGAGAAACCACTTATACCCACTAGGATGATAACAGTTTTAAAAACATTATAACAAGGGTTAACTGGCATGCGGAGAAATTGGAAGCCGCCTCCGCTCCTGGAGAAAAGGTGAGGTAGGACAGTGCTTTGGAAAACAGCCGCAGTCTCTCGGACTCAAGGAGCGCTCATATGATCTAGCACTTCACTCCCAGAGTTGAAAACACAGTGGCCATGGAACGAACTATTCATTATAGCCAAGAAGGGGAGACAGCCCATGTCCTTCAGCTAATGAGCAGATAGACTATATTTGGTACAGCCCTAAAATGGAATATGACCCCAGAATATAAAGAAAGTCCTGGTGCCTCCTACCGCATGGATGGCACTAAGGGAACAAAGCCATTCCAAACGTCCCATGTGCAGGGAAGGACTGAGGGGTTGGCTGGGAGGGCGGAAGGGTCAAGCAGGTATTCTAAAGGTGAACGTGGATGAGCGACTCTGTAAATAAAAGCAATTGAATTTTACATTTTAAATGGGTGGATTCTCTGGTGTATGGATTCTATCTCCTTAAAGCTTATGGAAAACCAGATAGTCAGGGTGTTGGTGTGGTTCAGTGGTAGTGCCCACCTGGCACACCAGAGGCCCAGGTTTCCATCCTCTGCACAACAAACAGAAACACAGCAGTGGCTTTGGGGTGTGCCTTGTTAGACTGAGGATGCTGAGCTGCTTTGGTTTACTGTTACTCCAAAGCCTGGCTCCTTTTTCTCTCTCAGAATTGTGAACCAGTCACCACCAAGCACTGATGGAGCAGTAAGAGAGACGTTTACTCTTGGCCCAGAATGGAGGTGACAGATATCAGAACTCCCCTTCCCACACCCTGGTGTGTGTGGCTGTGGGGCGGGAGAAATCTCTCTCCCCGGTCTCTGGCCCCTTCTCTATGTGGGCATACATATCCATATGTCTGTATGTCACATATATAAAGAGAAACGGGAGAGACATGCTAATCAAGGGAAGGGGTGTTCGTGGGTTTTCTGGGAATGGGCGTGGGTCTTCCAGGTATTCAGGCACCACTTTTTGCTTCTTTTCTGGCTCTTTTCTGTTGTCATTGTCATGGYATTTGTCTGCTGTCATGGCACTAGRGGTGTCATTTAGCATGCAGTTGGGATTATAGTGACATTAGAAGTTGACTGAGGGACACTAGCAGCCATCTCTATCTAGCCAGTTTCAGCCAGCCACCTGAAGAGGGACTTCTATCCTTCSGTATCCTGACCTCAAAAATAGGAAGATTGTGATGGGTTGGAAATTCAGCAGGGTCACCAGGCCTGCAGCTGAGGGGGAGGCCACATTGTTCTGACCCTGCTCTCCTTTCCATTCCAGAGCTGAGCCTGTCTGCGGGGTGCCTGCAGCTGGAGCACAGGAGGACCCAGTTCACCTCCTCTGGGATTAGGAAGCTCTACTTTGACACCCATGCCGTGGTGTGCCTGCTGGAAGAAAACGGTAATCCCCTTACCCTCCTGAGTGCCCTAGAAGACCACAGTGAACAGAGTTGTTCTGTGCCTGTGGTGGTGTCCAAAGCACAGGGTTCAAGCCCCCCYCTGCCAGCTTCTACTGACATAACTGTAATGAAATGAAACTTCTTCGTTTTCATTTGCTCCTCTGTAGCATGAGCCTAATAAGAATTCCAAAGAACCTTTTGAGCACTTAAATGAAATAATGTCCATGAATGCAATTTGGTCAAACCATTAAGTGCTATATAACGTGTTTCACAACTTTTTTTGTCAAATTTAAAATAATAGGCCTTACCAAAACTTCTTTCAGCTCAGACTTTAAAAGGAAAGTGGAAATGAGAAGTGTGTTTATCTTGCAAGGGGAAATATTTCTACTTATCTTGACTTCAAACCTTGACCATGGATATTTGCATCTTTAAAGATCATCTTTAAAGATCTTTAAAGACCCTACCCTGGGGCCTGTGGAAGGGGCTTTTCMCTGGATGGGGAGGGGCTTCAGATGATTGGCAAGGGTGGAGCCCAGGGAGGCTCTTAAGTGAACACTCTGTGCTCTTTATCCAGAACCTATCCCCTGATTAGCAGAACTTCCTAGAAGTCTGCCATCTGACTGTCCTGAGTGTGCCCTGGTCTCTCATTCTTGCAAATTGCACCACCTAACTCAATAGGTTTAAAGCTTAACTTCCGCTTTTTCATATCCCTTTCTTCTCCCACGGGTGGTTATTAATTGTTTGGCTTTGGTTTTGTTTTATCATCTGTGTAAGTTCTATATCTCTTTTTCTTCCTTTTTAAATGAATTTATTTTTAACTGATACATAAAAAGTACACATTAATGGGATGTCTATCTTTTTCTTTTCCTCATAACTGTTAAGTCCTAATTATGTTTAACCAAGAACTCTTARTAAAGTTTTAAAGGTTGCAAAATAATATGATCATGTTCTAAATATTAGGAAGGCAGAAAAGAAAACCAAAAAACCTCAGAGCCCAGTATCCCAGAGATAGACAATGAACATTTTGGTGGGGACCCTTCTGGGTGATTCTTCAAGATGTGCTTGACACACATTTTGAAAAATAAAAGACTTTTGAATAAATTGGTAGGTCTTTGGAGGTCCTTTCTTCTCCTTTCAAAATCATTGTTGATTATAGTCCCATGTTTAATCTTATCCAAACAGATTATTTTACTATTCAAACAAACAAAATGTGTATTTTTTAGAATGTACTGATTCTTCTGAAGCATTTAATAGAAGGAATTTGCTCTTCAGGCACTCAAGTTTTAAATATTTTGTTAAATTTTCTACATGAAATATGAGTTACAGACAACAGTTATTAAAAACATTAACAATGCCAAGTTGTGAATCTCTATAATTTGATTCACCATCATTTGTTGAGTGTTAAAAAATATCTTTTATCCAACTTGGACCTCCCAGATTATTGACTGAAGGAAAATGTTGAGGGAAAAAAAATCAAAGAACTGATTTTATCATTTAGCATTAAATAAGTTAATGTTGCTGAAAGCTCAGTCCTTGGCTTCAATCCAGTAGGGAAGACACGGTTTTGAGAAAATGGGAAAAGAAGGTTTATTGCTTTGCTACCAAAGGAGAAACATAGGGGACTCCTGTCCCAAAGGCTGTGATTCTGCCCAGCCATAGGAACAGGGTGCTTTTATGGAAGTGATTCAGAGAAAATTAGATGAGGGAGGGTAGATCAGGAAGTAGATATGGTGGAGGGGGAGATCAAGAAGAAGTTTAGGGAAAAGACAACTGAGAAAAAGAGAAAACATGTAAGCTTCAAAGCTAMGTGAACCCCATTTACATTAACAGCTAGATTACCATTTGTACAGTCAATAATTTGATATGTGGTAGATAAATTGTCCACCATAGAAAATTTAGACAATTTAGAGAAATATAAAGAAGAAAATAAAATCTCCATGAATCTTGGATAAATGATCGAAACAGTCTGGGGATGTAGCTCAGTGGTGAGGTGCATGCCTGGCATCCTGAAGCTGGGAGTCCTGTGCCTGGCACCACCCCAAACAACAACTTGTAAAACAGTCCTGCATCTGTAATTTGGAGTCAGCCTTTTATCACTTGGCAGACCCATCTGATGACATGAGTTTTGGCSCTGGGATGGGTGTTGGAGATCTTAGTGACCTGGGCACCTGACTGGGTGTGGGACATCTGAGATGTTTCTTACCGGTCAGGGTGACAGGCAYATCCCAGCTGTGGCTCTCAGCTCCGCCCTCCTGCCCGCTGCTTCCCTCTTGTTTCTGGGTTCAGAACGGAACATTCACGTGGGCCATGGATTGTCTTATCCTGACAGCGTCGTTCTTCCAAGTGTGATCATATTCGTGTGTGTGCCTGCTTAGGTTTTACTACTCAACAAGCAGAAATCATTGTCTCTGCACTGGTCAAGATCATGGAGACCAATATGAACATCGTCTACAAAGACATGGTCACCAAGGTCCAGCAGGTTAGTGTGGTCCTGGTGGGTGAGCAAACTGGAAATCTGAAAGTGGGATGTTATTTGTAATAAGCATTCATGAAACTTTTCAGATAATAGTTGGTTGAAAAATATATAGTAATTTTAACCATAGGAGGCAAAAGAGAACAGAGCATAAAATTAGACTCTTCATGCTTAAAAGTTCACTATGCTCAAAAGCTGTCTGTCCTGGTCAGAGTACTTCAATAAATGGAGATGTGGCCAGAGTCGTGTCCTTGGTCCACAGACTTGTGATTCACCTGGTGGTGATCTGTTGCATGGTTTGTTCTCCCCGTTTTCTCACCTTGAATAGTGGTGACGTGAGTCACCCACTGACGTGAGCCCTCCAGTGAGCCCCCTCCAGTCCATATCTGTCTAGTTCCTTGTGGCAATGACAGCAGGTGCAGACAGCAGGAGGTGGACTGCTGGGCTCACTGGGTTGTATGTGTCATTTCTCTCTTTCTAGGAGATCACTCTTCAACAAATAATGTCTAAGATTGCTAATGTGAAAAAGGATATGATCATTTTGGAGAAGAGTGAATTTTCAGCTCTCAGAGCAGAAAATGAGGTAAAAACTACAGATCCACTCATAAAATATGTTACATTAAGACACTGAGCTGGGCACGGTGGCATACGCCTGTAATCCCACCAGCTTGGGAGGCTAAGACAAGAGGACCGCGAGTTCAAAGCCAGCCTCAGCAACAATAAGGTGCTAAGCAACTCTGTGAGACCCTGTCTCTAAATAAAAATACAAAATAGGGCTGGGGAAATGGCTCAGTGGTTGAGTGCCCCTGAGTTCAATCCTCAATACCAAAAAAAAAAAAGACACCGAGATAAAACACACACACAGATGGGCAGTGCACAAGATGGGCAGTGCACAAGATGGGCAGTGCACAAGTGTGTACCACCACGAACTTCCAAGTATGCACCCTGAGGAGATGCGGGGGCAGAGCGTCACCCATCTCAGGGTCCTGCTGGTGACCTGAGTCATGTCAGTGTTTGCAGTGCCACAGAAGTATGTCATTCTGTCCTCCTGGGGTGTGTGTGGGAACGATGCCCAGCTGAGGGCTGTCCAGGTCACATGCTGCTGCACAGGTCCCCCTCCCTTCTCCAGGCAAGGCACGTGGCTCGTGGGTCAGCATTTAAGTAATCGTTCTCTTTGCATCTTCCTTTTATTTTCAATCCTGTTTAAAGCCCATAAGGGAAGGCTATTTATTGCCTGTTGATTTTAACCTCATAAGAAACCTTATCCTTCAAAGGCGAAGTCTGAACTCTCAGAGTCATCCTCAAAATCAGTTATTGAGGGCAGAATTAGTTGGAAAAAAAAATTTTTTGAAGGAAATATTAAAGAAAGCAAGGTTACTACTGCAAGCAAATGTTAAAACAGTTGTGTAGCCAAGTGCAGTGGTACACACCTGTAATCCCAGCAGCTCAGGAAGTTGAGGCAGGAGGATTGATTGCAAGGTCAGAGCCAGCGTCAGCAACTTAGCAAGACCCTGTCTCAAGATAAAAAGGGCTAGGGATGTGGCTCAATGGATAAGCGCCCTGGGTTCAGTCCCTGGTACTAATTTTACACAACCTTCAAGATGAATTAAAACTAATTTCAAGGTCTGCACAGGCATAGAGTATGACACATTTGAGCTCTGAATATTGTCAAGTTTGTGCTAAATGAGGGAAAAAGTTTAAGAACTTGTGCATAAATACATGTTGTAGTATTTGTAGATTATCAAGTTTTATGTTTTTCCTACAACTTTCTAAACATTCTTGTTCCTCTTTACAACTTTCTAAACACATCCTTGTTTCTTTTTAATGTGTTTTTAGAAAATAGAACTTGAACTACATCAATTAAAGCAACAAGTAATGGTAAGATTCTCTTTCCTATATGCTGACTTTTTTAAATTTTATAAGCATAATGTCAGAAATATATACTTTTAAAAACTTAATTCTTGGTGAAATATTTATGTAATATGCTTCAAAAGTTCACATTGCAAGACTTAACACAGCCAATGAATAAGTCGCCAGTGTCTAACCAAATTCATTAACAAAATTGCCTTCTAGGAGGAGTTAAATCATTTTAAATCAAAATGTTTGTGAAGTAACCAAATGGAGCCCTTAGATTTCTCTTAAAAGTGACTTTCTTTAGAAAATTACATGTGATTTTTAAATGGTTACCAGGCCAGCTGTGTTTGGTTTGATTTGTTTTTTTAAGGAGGAAAGAGTATTGATTTTAAAAAAGAAAAGATTTTGATGAGTTTCAAAAAGAAGGCTTTACTTAAACCAGAGCTTAATGTTTCCTCTTGGCTTTTGCTTTATTCCTGAATTCCACAGGGGGATTTTATAGGACATCTGGAGGTCAAAGGCACCTGTGGTCCCCTGCCACCCAGGAGTTTGAGGGCAGCCTGGGCAACCCAGAAAGCAGTAATGACCCACTCTGGGCTGGCATGCCTCTCGGAGGGGACTCTCTATACATGTGGCTGGAAGCCTGAAGACAGGGCCAGCCTGGCTCCTCCACAGTCCCCTGACACTGTTAGCCCTGGCCCCACCTCCGGCCGTGCCCTTCCCTGGCTGGCTCCCTTGGGCAGGTGTCCTGGGCTCAGGTACTCAGGAGCTGTGAATTTCTGACTGTGGATTTCTCTTTGTTTTTGCCTTTCTATTAGGATGAAATGATCAAAGTCCGGACAGATACCAAATTAGACTTCAATCTGGAAAAAAGCAGAGTAAAAGAATTGGTATGTTCTTCTATTAAAAATAAATTACGAGGGGCTGGGGTTTTGGCTCAGTGGTAGAGTGCTTGCCTAGCATGCACGAGGCACTGGGTTCAATCCTCAGCACCACATAAATGTAAAATAAAGAAATTGTGTCCACCTAAAGTTTAAGAATAAATATTTTTAAAATAAATAAATAACGCGTTCATTTCCTTTCAGGATGGAGTGCTTAGTTAAGTCCTAAGTTTGCATACATGTCACAAGTATTGTTAAAATATTTACCAATTTTTAGTGTTAGACAACACCTTTTCACTCTGTTTTGGAATAGGGCTTAAATTTGATGCTTTCAAAATTGCTGGGCAGGGTAGCCCATGCTTGTAATCCCAGTGGCTCGGGAGGCTGAGGCAGAAGGATCACAAGTTCAGAGCCAGGCTCAGCATCTTAGTAAGGGCCTAACAACTCAGCAAGACCCTGTCTCTCAATAATATATAGTAAGACCTGGGGATGTGGCTCAGTGGAAGCACCCCGAGTTCAATTCCCAGTATCAAAAAAATAAAATAAAAAAGTAATGCTAAAATCAAAATCTTGTTCAAATTGGGTTTAAACCTCTGTTTCAGAGATACTAGATAATGTGTTACATAGACATTAATAAGCAATTTAAACTCAGTCTTGATCTATTTAATACTGACTTAAATCTCTGCAGGCCCTCATTTTGAAAAAGTTGACTATTTCAGATGAGCAATATTAAATAATACTAAATTCTACACAAATTCTGGATTAAAACATATTTCTGAGGCTGAGGTTTTGGCTCAGCTCGCCCAGCATGTGTGAGGCCCTGGGTTCGATCCTCAGCACCACATAAAAATAAATAAATTAAATAAAGGTATTGTGACCAACTACAACTAAAAAAATAAATACTTACAAAAAAACATATTTCTGTTTTGTCTTTGTGTGTGGTGCTGGGGTCGAACCCAGGCTAGGCAAGCGCTATACCATGGAGCTGCACCCCTGTATATTGTCTGTTAAATACAGAGAGAAGGTGTTACGTTGAAGATGCGTGTGTTGGGTTTGGGTTTTAACCTGTCTAGGCATTCACCTCTCTGCTCAGGCTTTCTCTAGGTGGCCATGTTAGTCAGGTACCTTTCTTGTCCTTGGCTTAATGACAAGTGGGCACGTGGGGCATTTTCCCAGCGTGAACCAGTGTGGATGCACCTGCAGACATCGCCTGTGCAGGCTCATGTTTCACAACTTCCCTTTAGTCGATGCGTGCTGTAATGGTAAATGGGTAATACTGCAACTCGGATAAATGCATAATTGTATTTTGGCACTGCTGCTGGACCTCAAGAGTTAAATTGAACTTCATTATACAAAACAATTTCATGCCCATGTTCCTCATGAGATGAAATCACCTAGTCTCCCTAAAACAGTAGTGACCGCCAGCACATGACTGCCACCTAGGAGAGACGCTTCTGGTTACCTTTATTCTCCTGGGTCATGTTTTTAAGAAAAGTCTGAATTCATTTGATTTAGAACAGCAATCAAGCTGGTAAAAAGCACAGCTAGGAGATTAGAACATGGGAAGTGAAGGTCGATTAAAGCCATGAATCTGTGATTTACTCACCTAGCTGGGAAGCTGTTCCTGGTGATGCTGAGCCTGCAGTAGCATGTGAGCTCCTGTGTAGGTAACATGCCTTGGTGGAGATGAGTCATTTGGCCTTCTAATTCCTTTAGTGAGGTTACTAAATTAAAAGTTAAATGAACAACATTTACAGCCAGTTTCAAAAGCAGGGTGGTATATAAATGTTTTGGGGCTCGGGGAGAGGGAACCCCACGTGAGTGTCATTTCTACCTTGTGGGATGTCCAGACTTTTTTCTCTTCTGGTGCCCAAGTCAGAGCTGGTGCTTTAAGGTGTGCGGAAAACCCAGCTCCACCCTGCCCCCTGGTGGCAGCTTGACGCCTAATGCCTGGTCTGAAACCCTGGTGTTGGGGAACGTTGTTCTTGCAACTAGTTGAGTTTGGGGTTGGGCATTGTTTACTTTTTGTCAGTTTCTTGTTTTGTTTTACTTCTAAGAAATGGTATTTTTATACTCTATCCCTGATAGTCCTAGGAGGGACTGACTACCAGTTGCTTAGTTCAGGTAGTTCCTAGGGGAACATTTTATACCCAGAAATTTCCTAGATATTTCAAAGCATTAACTTTTTCCTTTATAATAACGTTAACTTAAGTCCTAAAAATCTTCATTTAAACTACAATGTGCCATTTGCTTGATTAAATCCTAATGCCCACTACCGAGGGGATATGTCTGATTTTGATTTTAGTGTCAATAAAACTGTACTAAATCCTTTCACAGATACTAAACGCCAGAGGCAGGGGCCATTTTAATTAGGGTTGGAGCTGGTAGGTTCCTTTGTGACTGGGTGTGACCATGCCAGAGCAGGAGTATTGTTCTATGAACCCACAGGCAGGAGCTTAGTGTTTCTCCCATTTTTGTGTTGTGTTTTATAATCACAGTGCAGCGTCTGTGTCACAGAGAACATTCCTTGGAGCTTTCTATTGTCCTGGTCTTTCTCTTCACTCGGTGCTGACTTGTTTTCTTACAGCTGATGGGACAGCTCCTAACTTGAATTGGTTTTCTGCCATTTTCAGCCTCTCAGAGCCAAAAAGCCTGAGGCTCAGCCTCCATCTAATCAGTCCCATGAAGTGCTACTGCACCAGTGGGATTTAGTGCAGGTTGTTACCTGGTACCACAGTAGAGAGGTGACCAGTGACAGAAGGAGATCGGAGGATCAGAGCAGGAAGTATGAATAAGAAAGCTGAGTAACAGAATCTGAGCAACAGGGAGCAGGCTGCTGTGTCCCCAGGGGGTTTCTGTGTCGGGGTGATCTAGGGAGGACTGAGACCAGAACCTCGAAGGCAGCAGAGGAGAGAGGGGGCCATCAGGGGGACCAGGGTCTGACCTGCATTATGTGTCTATTTCAGTACACACTGAACGAAAGGAAGCTGCTGGAATTGAGGACAGAAATCATGGAATTGGTAAGAAATGACACTTTGACTTTTCTTTGTCGTTTTATCCATCTTCATTTCATCCTGTTCATAGTTATTGTCATTTGTAATTATGTATTGTGGAAAGATATGCAGCTTTATGTCATGAGGTTTTTAAAAATTGAGGTAGAATATACATACATAATATAGGAGCTGGGGATGTGGCTCAAGTGGTGGAGTGCTTGCCTGGCATGCATGAAGCATCCTCAGCACCACATAAAAGTGAAATGAAGATATTGTGTCTACCTAGAACTAAAAACTGAATATTTTTAAAAAAAGAATATACATAATATTAAAAATACCATCTTGAGCCAGGCACAATGGCGCAMGCCTATAATTCCAACAGTTTGGGAGGCTGAGGCAGGAGGATCTTGAGTTCAAAGCCAGTCTCAGCAACAGCAAGGTGCTAATAAGCAACTTAGTGAGGCCGTATCTCTAAATAAAATACAAAATAGGGCTGGGGATGTGGCTCAGTGGTTAAGCACCCTGGATTCCCTCTCTAGTACAAACAAATAAATAAACATTTTTACGATTATGGTTCAGTGGTATTTATTTTGCAAAATTAAAACTGTGTCCCTTAACACTAACTCCACACTCCCTCCTCCTGCCGCTGCTGGCAACCACCAGTCTGTTTTCTTTCTTTAGAGTTTGACTGTTCTAGGTAATTTCTTGTAAGCGGAATCATGCAGTACTTGCCTTTGGTTGCTGGCTTGTTTCACTTTAGCACAGTGTCCCCAGGGTTCACCCACATTRTTGTACATGACAGAATTTCTTCCTTTTCAGAACTTGATTGTATTCCATTGCATATTTATACCACATTTTACTTATTTACCTGTCAGTGGACACCTGAGTTGCTTCCCTTTTCTGCTATTGTTAATGCTACAACAAACATGGAAMGTAAATATCTCTTGAGCCCCTATTTATTTATTTTGGTGTGTACCCAGAAGTTGAGTATTTTACACTTAACAAAATACTTGATCTTAATGAAAGTTTAAATCTGTGATTGACAAATAGTAAGGAATTGAGACCTTCTCCTATTTTTTAATTTACGGACTGCATTACTCCTTTTCCTCTCTCCTCCCTCAAAGGCTGGGATGTAGCTCAGTGGGAGAGCATGTGCTCAGTGTGGGCCTGGTTCAGGCCCCAGCGCTCACACGAGGGACCTGTGAAATCTATTAGGAGGCTTCCATGAGAGAATTCTGGGATGTTGCTCTGGAATACTTTTGAACACATTTAAGCATTCACTTCCTTGTTCGTTGCCTGAACTGGTGATGGTAGGAAACTGCTGGCCTGTCCTAGGATTTTCAGTGAAGCCTTGTCTTGGTTTCAGACCTGAATGCAGTTACCTAATGTCAACCTCTTTGAGGGTGAATGTGCACCTGGTTTAACTGTGTTGATTTGGGGAAGGACACAAAGAGACCCTTGGTAGCTAAGCCTTGTATTAATGAAGCACTTGATGTCTGAACTACAGAAGAAAGCTGTAAATCACCAACATGGACTAGAAATAGCGTCAAGACAAGCAGGGTCACTTTTGGATTACCTAAGACTACACTTCTCTGTCAGAGGAAGGGAACACAGTCATTGTATTGAGGGCAGACTGGCTTCGTAATGCTTCACCAGGCTCGGCAACCTCTAGTTCACGAAAGGTTTGCACACGGGTTATCGCTTTTGATTCTCTAAATAGCCTGTGTGTAGGGCTGGGGATGTGGCTCAAGCAGTAGCGCACTCGCCTGGTATGCCTGCGGCCGGGGTTCTATCCTCAGCACCACATACAAACAAAGATGTTGCACCACATACCAACAAAGATGTTGTGTCTGCCGAGAACTAAAAAAAATAAATATTAAAAATTCTCTCTCTTTAAAAAAAATAAATAAATAAATAAATAGCCTGTGTGAAGGGCGGCCAAAGGTCGTAGGGGTCTGTTTTTGTTTTCCCAGTCAGAGGGAAACTGAGGCCTGGAGACCTAAAGCATAGCCCCTGGTCTCCCCAGGCTGCCCGGGGGCTCCCCAACAGGAAGGTGCTCGGGGATGGAGGGCAGGGGGCCAGGACCTGAAGCCTTCTAATGCTCTGAAGCTCTTTGTTTTGAAAGCATGCCCAGCAGGATCGTGCCCTGACGCAGACAGATAGGAAGATAGAAACAGAGGTGGCTGGCCTCAAAACCATGCTTGAGTCGCACAAGCTCGACACCATCAAGTATCTAGCAGGTAAGCTGTCTGGTGTCTGAGTGTTCAAACAACATGGCAAGGAAATACGTCAAACTTTATAGAAGTCAGATATTGCATTTCATTGATTCTAGCACTTCTTTTCGTGGAAAGCTTCTTGTAATTTTCAATAGATGAAGTATTATACTTTCATTGGTATTTTTTTCTTTCTTACTATCCTTTTTTTACTCACTAGTAAAATACAAATAATGGTGTACTTTACAATTGAACAAGTCATAAATTTAAAAAGATAATATCATTAGATTATGGCTATTGGGATTTTAGAGGAATTCAATAAAGGAAATATTTTATGAATAAAAGAGAAGGTATTTGAGTTGTGATCTTTCTGCTTTGTTTGATAATACTCCTTTTAAGGGGTCATTTTGCGTTTGCAATTTTTGAGCCAAAAGAGGGAATGTAGATTCATGGACAGAAACAAAAACATAAGCTGGGCAGTGGCACAGCAGCACCTTAACAAGGCCCCATCTCAAAATTTAAAATTTTAATAAAGGACTGAGGACGTAGCTCAGTGGTAAAGTGCCCTGGGATTCAATCCCCAGTACCTCTCTCCCACCCGGGGATGGGGATGGGGATGTGGCTCAGTGGTAGACCACCTAACCTAGCATGCATAAGGCGCTACAGCCAATCAAACAATGCAGAAATTATTTCAAATCGGTTTTAAAAGCTTAGATTAATCAGATATTTTAAAGTTATAACTATATATATTAAAATATCTGTACCTGAATCATTCAYATGTATATGTATTTGCATACATGTATGTGGATGTACAAACATATATGTATGCTTTGTGACCCAGAGTCTTTGGATTATAAACTTTCTTTTTTTATATAATTTTTTTTTTAGAGAGAGAGAGAATTTTTTAATATTTATTTTTTTTTTTAGTTTTCGGCGAGCACAACATCTTTGTATGTGGTGCTGAGGATCGAACCCGGGCCGCAAGCATGCCAGGCGAGCCCCCTACCACTTGAGCCACATCCCCAGCCCCAATGATTATAAACTTTCTTGAGAAGTTCTCGTGAATATTAAATATATTTGTACTTTGAAGATGATGGTCTCAAGATATGGAGTTAGTTTGTTTTTAACAGGCAGATGTTTCTTGGCCTATTAGTGAGCAGACAMGTTTCTGTGTTTTTTTGGTTTTTCCCCCATAGCGGAGAGGTAGTTGGATATGTTTCCTTAATAAGCAGAGGTCCCCGCACTTCAAGTCACCTCTAGCTTATTTACAATCTTTTTTTTTTTTTTAAGAGAGAGAGAGAGAATTTTTTAATATTTAATTTTTAGTTTTTGGTGGACATAAAATCTTTATTTTATTTTATGTGGTGCTGAGGAACAAACCCAGCAYCCCGYGCATGCCAGGCGAGTGCGCTACCGCTTGAGCCACATCCCCAGCCCCTACTTACAATATCTGATGCAGTGTGACATGTTCCCTCAAGGAGCTGTAGTAGAACTAATAGTACTCAATTATTTTTTCTTACAGGGTCTGTATTTACATGCCTGACAGTAGCTCTGGGATTTTATCGCCTGTGGATGTAATAAAGGTGTCTATTTAAAGAGATTTCCATTGTTTTGCCTTAAGAATACCAAACTATTGTCTCTTTTTTTTTTTCTTGTTTCAAATTTTAATTCTGATTTGACTTAATGCATACTATTTATTCTTACACAAATTATGGGCACATAGCCAAAGTAAAGAAGTCAGGGACTCTCTGATCATCCTTTTTGCCTTCTGCCTAGTTAACTTGATAACCAAGGGGTGGACAACCCCACTCAGTGATCCGTGCACTTGGTCTGACTGACCTTGGTGCAATACCAACAATAAATGTTTTTGTAATTCCCTACAATTTGAAATCTTCTTGTCACATAGAGGACTTGGGGTCTTCATTGAAAGGGGACTGTGGCTATAARTGCTGAAGAATCGTTGACTCCAACCCTGAGCGCCCACTCCTCACCCACCCTCCCCTCACAGCTCCCGGCCCCAGCGCTGCCTCTGCTGGGCTGGTTCTGGTGAATACAGCTGTACTTCTGCTCCTAAAGAGTGCTCGCTGCCGACTCCGTTGTCTTAGTAAGTTACTGTTATGTTATTTTTAATGTGCCTTCCAGCTAGAAAATCTTGCTGCCTAATGAAGCGTTGTAATTGTAATGGGAACTCTTGCTGCTTAGGATGCTAGATCCCCCTCGTGTCTTGAACTGTAATGATGCTCTGCTGAGGCCCTGCCACCCAGAGGACCCCTCCTCCTCGGCCTGGTCAGCTGCAGTGTGCGCTTCAGCCTGGTTCCTCCTCATCCGCATTTTCGTTTTCTACAGGGGAGCACTCGGCTCCCTCCTGCAGGCTGTCTAGACATCTGGCTGTCCTGTCGCTCTGATGAGGAAGCCCCCGCCTGTCCGCGTGCTGCCTGTGACCAGCTCAGCTGTGCCTTCCGAGTGAGGACTGGCTTCTGTGACTGAGACATCCTCAGGCCTACCTACCTCTGCATTTGAAACAAACAAATCCTAGGTGCAACGGGGGTTATTTTAAAGAAGTACCTTTTGTGCTTATTGAAACAACAGACTTGGGGGCAAGAATAAGCATTTTGGAGCCTGGTGTGGCACCTCACACCTGTAATCCCAGCGGCTCGCAGGAGGATCCCGAGTCCAAAGCCAGCCTCCTCAAAGGCGAGGTGCTTAGCAACTCAGTGAGACCCTGTCTCTAAGTAAAATACAAAATAGGGCTGGGGATGTGGCTCAGTAGCCGAGTGCCCCTGAGTTCAATCCCTGGTACCCAAAAGAAAGCATTTTGGAAGCAGTGACACTGACGGGACCTCTTCTGTCTTTACACTCACACGTGCTGCACACCACACGGTGCAGAAACCACAGGAGGAGTTCTTGATCAGTTTGGCAGAATAAATTGCCCAATGTCACTATTCCAGCCACATTAATAAAATTAAGTTACCTTTGTCCTTCAGATGTGATTTCTAAGCATTAGGAAGTCTACTATTTTAGAAAACATTTGTGAACCAAGCATTCTGAGCTTCAGACCATAGGCTAATCAAGTACTTTTCTATTAGTGGAAGCAGTTTCAAATGAAATATCCTAATTTTCTCCTTTTCGAGTAGATCAAAAATTGTCTTCATGACCTAACAAAATGTTTCATCAGTATATTCTTTCCCCTTTCTAAGAAGAGTCCCTGGGAAGAACAGTGCATTCAGCCGTTGCCTGACACCTTGAAGGCCCCATAGGTGGCCCCCCTGAAGACCACACTGTGACTAATGTCAGCACAACCTAGGATAGAGCTGGAGAGGGACTCACCAGTCACAGCTCCGAAATGAAGCCCCCAGGAGCAAAGGTACCAGTGCCATTGTGTTTCAAGTAAACACTGACCTTGGTAGGTCAAAAGCGAGCATGCCGTCCTTTCACCCTGACCATTAAGTAACAGTGGGGTGACAGTCTTGTGTCTGCTAAAGGCCTCCTGGCCTAGTGGGCCTCATCATCCCATCACTTAACTTAGACCTTTGGTTTTTCTGAGAGTTCTCGTAGCACACAACAGCCCTGTTGGGCTTGGGGACAATGAACTGTCCTTTAGAGGACGTGGATGGCATGCAGGTCTGGAATTCAGCAGGGCTTGGGACTGGTTCCCATTTTTTAGTCGGTGTTTTATATTTGAAAAGCGTTGAGCTGGCTCCAGCATCTGCACGGTGGGAGCCAGCTATGTCTAGACAGTTACAGCTTCCTGTCCTCCAGCTCCTGAGAAGTCAGATCACCTTAGGAAATTGGGCATTATCTAGCAAGACTAAAACAACTCGGGCATTTTCCCCCTCAAATATGCCAAGCCCCTCCATTGGAGAGTTGCAAGTTCAAGAAGAAAGGCTTGACTCCTGCCTCAAGCCTCAGCAGACCTGTCTCTCCCGGCAGTACCCAGCGGCTTTGGCCCTGCTGTCCCCGCATAGCTGTGCTCAGCACTGCCATCTGCCCTCCTTGTCTGGCTCCCTCTCCACCCTTTGCCCGACATTAGCATCCTGCTCTGCTGTGTTCTAAGACCTCTGCATCCTGAACAAATCTGCACCCTACTCTAGACCTCGGACTTCAGCAGACATTTACCAACTTTGTTGTGGCTTTTTTGGCATTAAAAAACATGTTGACTGGAAATAATGTACTCCTTATTTAAAATATTTAAGACTGTTTAGTCCTTTATTGGAATTTTATTTGGAAAATATATATCTTTCTGCAGATTTGTACCTAAATTTCCTTTGATTACAACCAAAATCATTTGTTAACCCTTTTATTACTTAAGCAAATATTCAGTTACATTGTTTATTATCTAATGGAGTGTGTGTTAGGTTTTTATTATCTAAAAATATTTAATTATTTGTGACTAATATTTTGGGGGACAAAGGGTGGCTAGGAATTGAAGCCAGAGCCTCGTGCATACTAGGCAAGCACTCAACCACTGAGCTACATCTCAGCCCTCTAATACATTTTTCCAATGGTTCAAATGAAAAACTAAAATAACTTCTGTCTAGAACAACTGTATTCACTGTATCATTTATATGATAAAACGAGTGAATTGTAAGTTAATCTAATAGCTGAAAATTTGAGTTTACATTAAAATATTTAAAAGTAAATATTTGATTTGCAAAATAAATTTTAATTCAAAAGAATTATTCAGCGTACTTGTGTACAGTATTTTAAGTACTTCTTCAGGGAAATGATGAGCATAATGCACAGGTTTTTAGAGAGGACTGGGGGGCGGGGGGACCAGGTAATGGGATTCCACCTCAGGCTACCTTGAACAGAAAATCATTTCTGTTTTCAGCTTGCACAACCAAAGTCTGGGCAAGGCACACTAAGATGCCATCAGAACTCTCCTCTCTATAAGCACCTCGGGCCCATGTCTGCAGCTGCACCTGACAACAAGCCTCACCCTGATTAGCTCCACTCTGAGAACGCCTGGAAAGGAATGGTCTGGGGTGGGGGGGGGGGTGGGCTGCAGCAAGCATCAGCCTCCTGAGGGGTGCTGTGGTTCCTTGCTGCATGCTCACCTCCCTGGGAGCCTACTGGGCAGGTTTCCCAGGAATCAGCTCTGCGAGCAGAGTTTCAGGGTAATCAGTGTCTGCTCCAGAGGAATGCACAGGAATGCTTTGGAAAATTGGGCAAATGAAATAGAAAAGTAGTCAGAAAATTAATGCTGGGTACCTTTCATTTTCTCCAACTAGAAATCTTAGAGTCAGAGCAACCAGACTTGAGGGTTAGCAGCAGTTTCTAAAAGGTGATTAGCCTCTGAGATAGGGAAAGGCCCTGAGTGATCTGCAAACTCTGCCTTCAAGCTCGCAAATGATGTGTTAGATGTGAGTCACCGTCCACCCCGTCTTCTCTGGGCCCCATTTCACATCTGTGGTGCGTGAACATACTCAATCCTTTTTGCTCTGGGCCTTTGGTTTTTCCAAAAATAAGAAAATTGTTTTAAAGGAAAGCATTTTCTAGACACAGATTTCTCTCTGGAATCTGAGCCTCAGGCATTCCAAGGCAGAGCTTCACGTTCATTGGTGTGCCAGGCACGTCTCCGTTGTAATCTGCAGTTTCCACAGGAGGCTCCTGCCATGAAGCCTAAGGGTGCTGGGCCCATGGGCACTGCGAGGGGCCACTGTCCAGCACAAGGGTCTGAGCATTGGCGTCTTCAGCCTACAGATCACTSAGATTCTCGTCGTCTTATCGCACATATGCAGGTAACTGTTTTGAGACCCACAGTTTAAGGAATGAGTATTTGAAATAACGTAAGTATAAAGAAGGCCTTAACTTTTCCTTTCAGTTTAATCCTTTTTTCTCTTTCCTTTTTTGCACACGCACTAATATTTCAGTAAACCCTATTCAGTTCATGATTCTGAAGCCTCAGTCGGCTCAGTATTAAAACCTCGGAGCTGTGCTCGGAGGGTAGGTGCAGCTTAGCATATCATTTCTGCTGCTGCTGTTTTTCAGCAATGATTCTTCAAACCCCTGCCCCTAGGCCACCTCAGTGTCCTGGACACTCCTTCTCTGAGGAGGACAGACACAGCTGCTTAGTGGTTTCTTTTTCTCCACAGACAGCATAAAAGTCAATATCTTTTCCTAAACAGAAGTATTTTTTTACTATTTCTTTCATGTTTGCATAGTATTATAGTTTGCATGACCAGCATTCCAGGGGCTATTGTAATGGGCAGTGTCTCTTCAACCTCAAGAATTGCTATCTGTGCCGGGCACAGTGGCACACACCTGTAATCCCAGTGGCTCAGGAGGCTCAGGTAGGAGGATCCCAAATTCAAGGCCCACCTCAGCAACTTAGCAAGGCCCTAAACAATTCAGTGAGACCCTATCTCAAAATAAAATATAAAAAAGGGCTAGGGATGTGGCTCCGTGATTGAGTGCCCCTGGGTTCAACCCGTGGTACCAAAAACAAAAAAGAGAATTGGTGTCTGTGCAAACCTCAATGGCTAAGACTGAAGAAAAGATGAAGCCCAGAGGAGCAAGATGTTCAGTGAGCCCATGGAAACATGCATAGTTTTTTGTTGTTGTTGTTACTATCATTGTTTTTTACATATGTGTCAGTTGCATGGAGGCTTTCAGCAGCAGGTAACATCAAACAAGCAGTAGCTTCCACCTAATGTCTTTTTTATTACTTCAGTGTAGAAATAGGAAGTCCTCAGGATTGGATTGACAGCTCAAGGCTGCCTTCAAGCAAAAGAGCTCCTTTCATCTTTCCACCTTCCTTGCCTTCCCTAAGTGTTAGCCTTCTGCTTCAGACTGAGGGTGATCTGATCACAAGAAGGCTGCCACAGCTCCAGGCATCCTATCCTCACATGACCGGCATCCAAAGCAAAAAAGAGAGAAAGAGGGAGAGAGAGGTGAGTGCAGAGAGACTCTTCTCATGTCTCTTTGCTTTAAATCAAGAATGATTGCCCACCATAGAAACCCCTTTATATCGCATAGACTGGGACTGAGTCACACAGATTACAAGGGGAATGGTTAGTAGTTTTAGCTGCTCTGGTAGGAGGARGGCAAGCCAGAAGAGGGCTGGGCATGGTCATCAGGTTGGCATTCAACAGTGCTGGTTACATGTTCACGAAAACAAAGCACAGGCCATGCAGTCAGTGTTCAGCTGCCACCCCTCAGTGGCCRGATACACTTATTTCCAGCAGTATTGTGGGTAATTTTATTTTATTCTGYTTCACAATATATTTTTACTGGTTTTCCAACCAAATCTACAATTACTTTTTTTTTTTGATGTTATGACTAGTTTCTATGATCCAACTATAATTCTGGACTAACTCGGATGGCTGGGGGAGGGGGTTATTATTTAGACAATCCACATACACCTTTGGGTAGTTCTCAAAACTCCTCTATATAGTTTTGTTCTGTTGTTTGGTACCAGGGATTGAACCCAGAGGTACATAAACTGAGCCACATCCCCAGCCCTTGWTCATATTTTATTTAGAGACAGGGTCTTGCAGAGTTGCTTAGGGCCTCGTTAAGTTGCTGAGGCTGGCATTGAACTTGTGATCCTCCTGCCTCAGCCTCCAGAACTGCTGCGATCACAGGCCTGAGCCACCACACCTAGCAGATCATATGGTTTTAACCAAAGTGTAGCCTAGGCCACCTGCAGCTCCCTTTTGCTCAAAAGGAACAGGAGGGGAGCTGCCACACCGAAGTCTCTTTTG